AGATGGGGTTTCACCATGTTGGCCAGGCTGGTCATGAACTCCTGACCTCAGGTGATCCACCTGCCTCAGCCTCCAAAGTGCTGGGATGACAAGCGTGAGCCACTGCACCCAGCCCAGGCTTTTCTTTTTGCTTCCAAAGCCCTTCCAGATATGTGCCTTATCCTGACCCTGCAGAGCTCAGGATCTGTGGTTTGGGCCTTGTGGCTAAGTGGAGGGGATATGGCACACAGGTACGTGCCCAGCCAAGTGCGAAGGGGCCTGGCTTCCAGGACCCTCCTTAGACCCCTAGTCCCAGGGCCTGTGTCAGAGGAGAGAGTGGCTCTTTCCTCTGCCCATCCTGGGATGGACAGTCGGGGCCTTGGGGCAGATACAATGCAAACACTGTCCCTGGAAGCTGACAGAGACCCACCAAATCCAGTCCCTACTCCTGGGCTGGGTCCCTGTCCATCTCCCTGACCATGCCACTCCCGAGGGCTCTCGTTTGCAAACACCCCATTGCCCTACTAAAAACCTCTCCCAGGTGGGCTTGGTGGCTCATACCTGTAATCTTAGCACTTTGGGAGGCTGATGTGGGTGGATCACTTGAGTTAGGAGTTTGAGACCAGCCTGGCCAACATGGTGAAACTCCGTCTCTACTAAAAATACAAAAATTAGCTGGGTGTGGTGGTGTGTGCCTGTAATCCCAGCTACTTGGGAGGCTGAGGCAGGAGAATTGCTTGAGCTCGGGAGGCAGAGGTTGCAGTGAGCTGAGATTGGCAACCATGCAAGACTCCGCCTCAAACAAACAAAACAAACAAAAAACTCTCCCACCCATTCAGTCATTCCCACAGTCTCAGCTCAGTCCCATGAGTCACAGTACATGCTAGTGGCCATCATATCTCAAGCCATCCTGGTCCCAACACATGGTCCAGCGGTAAGGAGGACTCTCAGGGGCCTTGGCAATTGATTCAAAGCAGAACAGCTTAATGAATGATCTGGCCAGCAGAAGGCAGCCTAGGCTGAGCCCTACTGTCCCCTCCCTGTCATCTGATGGAGGGACTATCAGGGAGCCACACACATGATAGACGATGAGGGCAGAGGCTGAATGACAGACACCTGCTAGGTCTCCGTGTCAGGCACAGTGGCTGCTTAGGAATGAAGCATGTGGACCAGGCATGGTGGCTCATGCCTGTAATCCCAGCACTTTGGGAGGCTGAGGCGGGCTGATCCCTTGAGGTCAGGATATACAAATACACATACCATGAGAGGGAGAGGGAGGGAAGGAGGGAAGGAGAGAAAGTGATTAAACAATGATCAAGACCATCCTGGCCGACATGGGAAAAAACCATCTCTACTAAAAATACAGAAATTTTCCAGGCGTGGTAGTACTTCGTGCCTGTAGTCCCAGCTACCTGGAGGCTGAGGCAGGAGAATCGCTTGAACCCGAGAGGTGGCGGTTGCATCGAACTAAGATCATGCCACTGCACTCCAGCCTGGGGGACAGAGCTACACTCTATCTCAAAAAAAAGGAAGAAGAAGTGAAGCACATGGACTTTGGAGTCACATGGACCCTGGTTTGAATCCTGATGACTCCTATAATGGCTGTGTGACCTTAAGCAAGCCAATCTGCCACTCTGAGCTTCAGCTGCCTGTCTATAATGTGCGGGGCTGCTCTGATCCTGCTGCGGGGCCATGCCTCTGATATGTGGTGTCAACAAATGCTCAGTTCCACCCAGACCTGGGCTCCCCTCCGACTCCCATTAGAAACCAGCCCATCTGGGATTCCTTCTCCAAAAGAGCACTGAGCTTGCCAGACCCAGCTGTACCTGAAGCCCACCACAGGAACCACCTGGAGTGGGGTCATATCCCTCTGTCTGAGCATAGGCATCTGGGCTCCAACTGGGCTCCTGGCCTGGGGGTTACTCTCTCCCTCCTGCACCCTGTCTTTTTTTTTTTTTGATGGAGTCTTGCTCTGTTACCCAGGCTGGAGTGCGGTGGTGCGATCTTGGCTCACTGCATCCTCTGCCTCCTGGGTTCAAGCAGTTCTCTGCCTCAGCCTCCCAAGTAGCTGGGATTATAGGCGCCCACCACTACCAAATGCCTGGCTTTTTTTTTTTTTTTTTTTTTTTGCATTTTTAGCAGAGACGGGGGTTTCCCCATCTTGGTCAGGCTGGTCTTGAACTCCTGACCTTGTGGTGCACCCACGTCAGCCTCTCAAAGTGCTGGGATTACAGGTGTGAGCCACCGTGCCCGGCCACCCTCTGTCATTTTTATCATAGTCCTTTTCTCCACTGCTTCCTGAGTGGGTCATTAAGTGGAGATCTACAACCTTCCTCCACCCTGGTCACATGATTCCTCCAATCTGGAAAGTATCCACAATTTTGTGTCATTAATTCTAGGGATTAATAGAGATCACTCACACACACACACACACACACACACACACACACACACAAAACAAAAAACAAAAAACAAAACACTCCTTCGAATGACAGCCTGCCAGGAGAAAAATGCTATTAAGGGAAAGATACCGCTTTTGGAGGGGCCCAGGCGGGTGGATCGCTTGAGCCTGGGAGTTTGAGACCAGCCTGGGCAACAAAGGGAGACCCCATCTCTACAAAAAAAATACAAAAATTAGCTGGGCATGGTGGCACACACCTGTAGTCCCAGCTACTTGGAAGGCTGATGTGGGAGGATCACTTGAACCCAGGAAGAGGAGCTTGCGGCAAGTCAAGGTTGCACCACTGCACTCCAGCCTGGGCGAGAGAGAGAGACCATTTCCTGTTTTGTTTTGTTTTAAAAAAGGAAAGACATTACCGGGTCAACAGAGAAAACTAGAGTATGAACAGTAAACTAGATAAAACAATTCCATCAATGTTCAATGAAGTTGGTAAAGGAAATGTGACTGTGTATGAGAATATCCCTGTCCTCAGGGAAAATACTCATTGAAGTATTTAGGGGTAAGTGATGTACGTAACTTTCTCTTGAATGGTTCAGGAAAAAAATGCACATCCATTTATACACATATCATAGATACTCATAGACATTTGTTTATACACACCATAGGCACTGATTATAGACACATACATATCAGTGTGAGGGAGAGGCAGAGAAGGAGGGAGGGAGAGAAAATGATCAATAATGAAACAAGGGAAAAAGATGAACAATTGAGAGTCTGGCTAAAGGGCATGTGAGTATTTTTCATACTATTTTGATTTTTGCAACTTTTCTTTTTTTTAATTGAGACAGTCTCACTCTGTTGCCTAGGCTGGAGTGCAATGCCACAATCTCGGCTTATTGCAACCTCAGCCTCCCAGGTTCAAGTGATTCTCTTGCCTCAGCCTCCAGAGTAGCTGTGACTACAGGTGTGCACCACCACGCCTGGCAAATTTTTGTGTTTTTAGTAGAGATGGAGTTTCACCATGTTGCCAAGGCTGGTCTCGAACTCCTGATCTCAAGTGATCCTCCTGCCTCAGCCTCCCAAAATGCTGGGATTACAGATGTGAGCCACCGTATCCGGCTGCAACTTTTCTATAACTATTCAAAAAAAAAAAATAACTATTTTTATTTTTATTTTATTTTATTTTTTGGGGGTGGGGACGGAGTTTCGCTCTTGTTACCCAGGCTGGAGTGCAATGGCGCGATCTCGGCTCACCGCAACCT